TGCTGCTGATGCAGTTGGCGATTTTCAGGGACGATCCCGGAGCTGAGGATCCTTGTGGTCGACCTATATGTACGTTTGGCTGGAAAACTCGCCTTGTTCGTACTGGGTTGCCGGTTCGGCGATAAATCATTTATACGCTCGTGCAGCCCCATCATGGCCAGATCACCCAGCCTGCGCTAAGGGCTTCTTTGATGCTAAGGCATGGTGCGATGAGCATATCGCGATTGAAGCTGACGTCGGCTCGCGTCTTTCCGAGGCGAATCTTGCCCTACGAGCTTCGATGACCACCGTCTTAGGAGCATCTGCGTGCAACGAGAAAAAGTTTACTTGCCGGTTTAAGGAAGGAAAAGCCCTTGGGTTGAACTGGAATCTCAATGCATTGACAGTTTCCATGCCACCAGAGAAGATTACGAAGGCGCTGACACGGGTCCGACAGCTCATCGGATGCAAACGAATGACCAGGACGCAGCTAAACAAACTTGTAGGCAGCCTCAGACACGTGGTGACTTGTATCCGGCCAGCAGCGTCATTCTTATTGTACCGACTCCATGTAAGTCATTGGCACATCCAGGCGCCTCCGACGTGTCAAACGAATGGCTCCAAGGAGATCCTGTAGTAGTACTCTGCGATGCGACTCACTTCAATTTTGTGCTGCGTCCTGTACCTTGATGGGCCGTCGTGTATACGCTCACGGCTTCTTTCAACTCGTGCAGTGTCACCATCGTCGATGGTCCATTGATTCCTCCACTGCGATGAAATAGAAAGACATCCGTATTGATTTCAGAACTCCCAAAAAAAAAACTCCCGTAAAAAAACTCACAGTCAGTGGGCGATACGCCAGGGCCTCCCTGAAGTAGTGTAGGGTTTGCTATCGTGGCAGGAAAACGCTTGAAAAGACGACGACTTTCGAGTTGACACCATCGGGTGTTTCACAGATTTCAGGATTACACAACGGTGCAATGTACACGGCACACTGTTCGATTTGACCAGCAGAGCTTCCTTCGTCTGGGATTGTGTATTCTGCGCAGGTCTAGCATCCATTCACGACGTACTGGAGACTTGAGATACTACCGTCGCCCACAAGACAGCGTAATAGCCCCGCAGGTTGCTTCCGACGACTTGAAGAAAAGAAGGCAGTGGTTGTAGGGAGATTAAAAGTACGTGGTCTGTGATCTTTACTGACAATGCGCATATTGCGTTGGTAGCTCAAAGACTTTTGGACAACTAACTTTGAGGACGAGAGCAAGCAATAGAACGTTGTCTTCATCGCTCTTTTTAATCGAGTGCTGAATTTTACATTATTTTAAGTAGCTGATTGAAAAATTTTTTTTTTGGGGAGTGGTTCTCGGAGCTAACCCCTTTCCATGTCAATTACGCGATCGCGACCTCATTCATTCTGGATACCGCAGGGGCACGCGCCATAGCTCACTTGAGTCACGTTCAGGCCAGCGTTGTTGCAATTGGCCTGGTCCAACTCGCACTCATTCTCGTACGTGACGCTATTCGATCCACACACTGGAGCATGCTCCGGAAGGCACGGAGTGTCGGCGCATGGAGCCTCCGTGTATCCGGATACAAAAATCATGTTCCTTTGAGTAGGCGTGGCAGTCGTCGTCGACATTGTAGCAATCGCGGCGATGGAGAGGAATGCAGCTAGCTTCATCGGCATAGGAGTGTATCGTATCGCTTGCGTTCAAATCAAAATCAAAAATGCTCCATATAAACCAGAGCGAAAACACACAGGCAGCTTGCAGATCTCCTCGCATCTCGTGGACATCCTTCTTCGACGTTTTTATTTACACAATATAAAAAATGTCTATGGGTAGCGTTTACATTATGCATGTGTGTGTATGTTTTGTATGTTTGTGGAAGAATGTCCAAAATCCAGTACTAGTGAACTGGATTATGAAAATCGGCGAGTTAAGTCAGAATTTGGATTAGTAAAACAGTACAGCCCCGGTAAGTTCGCGCCTCGTAAAAATCCAGTACACTGTTTAAGTACGCACATCTGACAGCAAATATTGCAGCATTTTATGAACGAGGGATTTTACTCGCAATAAAAGTAATGAGATGAAGCATGTGTCCAGTATCCAACTGTAAGTGTCCTGATTAGGAACTTCACCAATTTTTAAAATAGGCAAAGAAAGATACTTGGACACAGTCTTATATGCGATTGTGTCCTGTACAGGGGTTCTCCAATACAGTATTATACGGAATTGACGGTGGGTCAGCGCAATAAAAAGGGAAATTCCACAATTACCAATAAAAAAAACTGCAGTAAGTATTGCAATATTGCCTACAGCTCTGCGTCACTTCCAGCTGAAGCTAGCCTCGTCACATCCAATAAATTCCTGTTTGCATGCAAAAACATAATCAGCTCAAAATTGGCAGGCAACATGCATGTCCGCTAAGGTGTAAGCACCAGCTTGCACTGCGAAAATAATCGCTCGCATGCATTTGATGTTGGGGGTAGCTGCTTCAACAACTCGCTGTAGATAATATCACCACTGTCTCCCCCATGCTTAGCGCGCTTGCTTGGACCAGCACGAAGAATATGCGTCGCGTAATCTTCCTTGCATGCCTTCCTCTTGCTACCACTGCATAAGATTTGACCGCTACAGCTTCTGTAGCTGAAAGAACACCTCCGTTGATCATAGCAAGCTAATGATTGGCTATCAGATTCTTAACTAAGAGCTAGTATGGGAAATACAGACATCAAGATACGGTGCTGAGACGTCCAATTGTTTCGTAAGGCATCTAAAGTTTCTATGAGCCTACTTTTGTAAATTATACTGGAAATATTGGAGCAATATCATATTCATATTTTTAAGGAAGCTGCAGTAATCCGTTTTTATATTTAAAAAAACTGATTTTAGTGATACTGAAATTTTTTATTCAGACCCCTGGTCCTGTACAATATTTTTAATATGATGGTAAAAGGAATTTTGCCATTACAATTTTGTATAAACTTGCACCGAAACATGTGGGTTTCATAACGGTTGGTTAGTTTTATATTAAAGTGTTATTTGTGAACTTTGGTATGTGCCTCCCCCCTGTCATGTCATTTTAAGAGTGACGTCTCTAATAGCACATTGTCCGTCAAATGCCCATTCTCCTATAGAACTGACTGTCGACGCACGTATCGATGAGACTGATGCTGCAGAAGGCCCTGCACATCGTTCTGCTCAAGCTGGTAGCAGCATCTGAACCAACTCACACAAGTTTGGCAATGGAACTTCAATCGAAAGGCAGACGGATCCTTCTACAAGCTCAAGATTAGCAAAAACCTACCTGCGCGCCCTCCCAGTAGCAAAAAGGCTTGGACAACAACGCCGATCGGTCAGAGGGGGTCTGGTCTGTTTGACAGTAGTCGAGCTCGGCGCGGAAGGAGCGAAGAGCTGAACGATGTAGAACGCCTCTACGCCAAGCGCTGGGCTCATAAATTAGAGTTTAATTGGTGCAGGGGTTGGTTATAG